CTCTACAAAGTCTTTGGAGACAGCTATCCAAGGTGGCAGCAGCCCCCTTGGTTAGGGTAGGAGTTCAAAAGCAGATCGGTATACATGGAGAAGGAGGGCCTTTTTCAGTGATTTGTGAGTCACCCTAATTCATGACTCGTCTTGGCAGTTTCAGAAGAGGTTGGGGTTACAGCCAAGTCATATGATATGTCTGAGTGTTCAAAAAAAACAAACAATAAGCAATGAGAGAGAGAAAAAAAAAGAAAGAAAGAGGAAGGGAGGGAGGAGGGAAGAGGAGAAAGAGAAACATAACCTGGAATGGAGTCATAATCTCATCACTTTTTCCAGGGGAAATTTGCTTTATCGTTTTCTTCAATCTACTATGTGCATTAAACATATTGCATTTCTGCTCCCATATGCTTCAGACAGCACAGGGCTGGGGAGAAGACTGATCTTCATAGTCTCCAGTCACTTTACTTACCTGTAAACCATGGCTCTATCCACTCCAAAGGCCCCCACGATTAGATCTGCAGGACAAAGAAGGAGACAGTCTGCTGAGCGCTTGGCAGAAAATGGTGACTGCGGTATCATGAAACAAATTCAGGAAGCTGTTTTGAATGCAAAAGAGGAAAAAGCACACCTTGCTTGCCCAGATAGCGTACCGTGAAACCTAGTCATTTGTCATTTGGTTAGGGAGGGGAAAAAATAACACACTGCACGCTGAAAGGAATCCTGGTGGCCTTTCACATCAAAATGTCATCACTGGGCTAGCTAGATGATTCCTTTTGAGATAAAGCTGAAACAACAGCATCCTTAGCACAGAGAATGAATGACCTTTGTATTATGGCCCTGCAGAGAATCTGAATGCATTGCTTAGAGCATCGAGGCACTTGTGTGTTTGTTTGTTTTTTTGGAAAGTTCGCTGCAGTTGCTTCAAGGCCCTTTCCCAATCATTGGAGCATGACTGCCTCAATCTGGAGGAGTGGTTCTCAACCTTTTCTTCACCATGGAAACATATTTTCTTCCCCACCTTTAAAGATCTTTTGTGGCCATGAACCATGGCCACAGAAACCCTAGACCAGGGGTGGGATTCAACTGGTGTAGCAACCGGTTTGGTGAGCGCATGCATCGTGCAGCATTTGTAACTTACCTTTTGCTGCAAGCCCTTGTGTAAAACAGCTGATGCACGGCAATCCGCTGTGCCATGCGAATCAGCTGTGCTGGAAAACCCGGAAATAAAGTCCAGACCAGAGCTGGGGCGGGTGGGTGCACCCAACAGCTGATCATCCGAGCAAAGCGGTTATCTCACATCTGATTGTCGGAGCTACCGGTTCGCCCTAACCTGGCTGAACCGGTAGAATCCCACCCCTGCCCGAGACTTAACTCAAGATTTAAATCATAACATTTCTTCAAGCCCCTGTGATGACATCATGGCCCCTCCAGAGCTCCATGGACCACAGGTTGAGAACCACTGGTCTGGAAGGAATATTTCTGCAGACACACTCAACATTTGTGGAAAAGGCCTCAAAGCAATTACAACTAACTTTCAAGAGATAGGGCTGCCTCAATACTCCAACTATGTGATTTGGAGGAGTCCTCTCTGCATGCTTTATGCAGCTAATAGGTTATGAATCTAAGATTAGAAGATCTCATGGACATGTAAGAGTGGCCATTTCTTGAAAACTTAAGCTGTTTTGGTTATTGCCAACTTCAAGAACTTCTTTTGGAAAACTGCTGACAAAAGAAAGAGACTATCTGGAATGAGTTAGGTGCAGTGGATTTTACAACACCCTTTGAAGATTTTCTTCTCTTCCTCTGTGTGACTTCCAAAAGATCACAGAGAAGTTGCCTCACTCCTGCAAAATAATTAAACTGTGGAAAACTAAATCAGGGCAATTGCCAACCATTTAAGACCTATCAAGAATATAATTATGTATTTCCAATGTTCCAGCAGGAGAGCCCAAATGGCACTTCCCACCAGTAGGTGTGAGGGCATCTGAAAATATGAAAAAATATGAAGAAATAATCAGAAATAAATCTCCCAAATTAACCCAAAGGGACTAAACATGACCAGAGACCCTCAAATGTTCAGCAACTGGAATGGTATGTGGGAATGACCTTGAGAAATAGGAGGAAAAAAAACTATAAAGGAAATAGCAGGAGATTTGTACTTTTAGTCTTGCAAAAATTGGTTAATGTAGCCTTACAATACAGTCGATTTCATTCGTTTGGTGATGCTTCCTGTCTGGTGTACCTGGGAAGGCCAACATCAACCTTGCAAGCCTGAAAATACAAATCTCCCACCATCTCTTTTACAATCTGAGGACTTGGAGAGGGTGTATCCTTTCTGAGCCTCTTTCTCCAACCTATGCAGCTGTGAACTATGACCTCTCTTATATGACTGTTCCCTATGCAGCTGCTCCCCCCTCAACATCTCCCTCATCCATTCCAACATACTGTTACAGCAACTGGAGGGTGAAAAAATAGACCTCTAGATGAGACAGGAAATGGAATTGGTTAAGATGAAGACATAGTTACTGAACAGTGAACAGAAGTATTTCGTACTGTGCTTTTTTTTTTGTTACATGTTGCAATAGAAATATGGGGTTTTATTAAAGCAGCTATGTTATACCCCAGATACACATATTTAATGCTCCTGTATAAGAGCTCACCAGATGTTAAGCATCATATCTGCAGCCTCAGGCCTGCCAAATATGCACTCTCCCAAGTTCAGATGTGGTTCTGTTACTTCTTCACAGGTCATCCTCACCTGGGTAACCGTTTCCATCCAGGTCTTTGGCCCCACGCAAAGCCAAGCCATAGAAGTCGGGGACTTGACCAGGTGACCAGTAGCCTTGCAATACTTGAGACGGCTTGGGGTGCAGCCCGTTCTGTTGGCCATTATACACATAGACCATTCCTTGCTTTGCCGTGCCACCAAATGGCACTCCGATGGCCACATCTGTGGGAAAAAACGCCTGTGTTAGCAGCGCTGTTTGTAGGATTAATGCAGGAAACAAAAGACAAGATGACCTGTGTGTGTGTGTGTGTGTGTGTGTGTGTGTGTGTGTAGTGGATAAAAGGAGATGGAAGGATAGACTAGCCAACATATATGTAAAATCCTGTTGTGGAAACATGGAGTGAGACTTCCAGATGATCTCTTGAAAGATTGCCTAGAACAAGGGCCTTCAAACTTGGCAAGTTTAAGACTTGTGGACTTCAACTCCCAGAATTCCTGAGCTAACATGATTGGAGGAGGAATTCTGGGAGTTGAAGTCCACAAGACCTAAAGCTGTCAAGTTTGAAGACCCCTGGCCTAGAAGCTACACCACGACTTGGATTAGCAGGTAGACAGTAGACAAATCAATTTGGAACTTCTCATCTGCTTACATTTCAATCAGAGCAAAATGGAACTGCATAAGCTTATTTACATTCTCAGGGGGCCAAAATGGTACAATTGAGCATTGTCAAGGTACAGGACTTCATTCTACCCTACGCTTGAGCTAATCTTCCTTAGACATACTGGGCTGTAGCCTGAAGGATCAGATCTCAGGAAATCAGGTCCTCATTAGTTTCTCAAAAGAAAACATTTATCAACTTCCACTCGCTTCCCAGACTGGGCCCAGAAGTGCCAGGAAATCTTGTCACAGCAGCTTCAAGATGAGACTGATTGCTTCATCAGACTCACACAGGAGATGTGCAATCTTTAATTGGGAGAGGCCCAAGAGGATCTGCTGCTAAGGCAGCCTAAGGAAACCATACACTTTTTTTTTTCTTGTGTGCCTTACAGGGGAAACTCCCTCATCCCTCCGCCTACTTTGAGAAAATCCGCAGAGCAACACAATCCAAACTGGCCCTTGGGCCTCCCTATACAGCTATCTATCTGATGTCAAAGCTACCTCACCCTGTAGCCCTCCAAGGACTCTCTCAGTACAATACATAAGAGCCAGTAGAGTGGCTGGCCAGAGCAACCAATTGAGAGGCTGGAATGGAGCCATCAGGGCCACTTTGCAAGAAGGCTCTTATCTTTACCCTATGGATGCTGCTGGTTGCTGTCAAACTTGCGGCCCATGGGCCAGATGCATCACGCGCTGGCCACGCCCACGCCCGGTTTAGCGAAGGGGGGAAAAAGTTGTAATACATCATCTGACGACGTGAGTTTGACACTCCTGCCCTAGGGGAAACATGGTCCTTTTAGGAATTGTGGATTTCAACTCCCAGAATTCCTGAGCCAGCATGACTGGCTCAGGAATTCTGGGAGTTGAAGTCCACAACTCCAAAAAAAGGACCATGGTTCCCCACCAGAGGTGGTATTCAGCAGGTTCTGACCAGTTCTGGAGAACCGATAGTGGAAATGTTGAGTAGTTCGGAGAACCGGCAAATACCACCTCTGACTGGCCCTGCCCCCATCTATTCTCTGCCTCCTGAATCCCAGCTTATCGGCTGGGTCTTCTTTTGTTGCCCTGCACAGGAGAATGGAGCTGGAAAGCAGGGTAGTGGGATGGGGGAGGGAATGGCTCTGCTGTTTTCATTCCTCTGACAGTATCAGAAGGCTTCTGGAGAATAGCCCACAGCGGCCATGGTTAGCCCTTGTCCCCATCTGGCAACCTGTTGTGTTCCGCCATCCAAAGTGCCTACACAGACTGTGCCTTGTCTTTGTCTTAATCGATGGCGTGATGTTATTTTTTTGGTGTTTAGAAAAAAAAAAAGTAGAAATCTGACGGGGAGCTGTATTAGAAAGACCTGACAGCAGATGGCAGCAGTGGAACACACAACTCCCTCTTCTACAGAGACAGGCTGAGGATTTCAATGAAAAAGAGCGGGCCCAAAGGCCTACTTGGCTGAATTAGGATTCCAGCTTTGCCCATCAATATGGAGGAGTCGGAGTCCCCTCTTTATGCTCCGGCAGCCATTATGAAAAGCAGGGCTGTTTAAAAGGATAACGAATCCCATGCTATCTGGAATATGCATACACGTAGTCCTCGACTTACGGCCACAATCGAGCCCAAAATTTCTGTTGCTAAGCGAGAAAGTCGAGTTTTGCCCCATTTTACGGCCTTTCTTGCCCCACTTGTTAAACCACTGACTACAGTTAAGTCAGCGTTAAAGAGAATCTGGCTTCGGCGTTGACTTTTCTTGTCAGAAGGTCGCAAAAGGTGATCACGCTGCAACCGTCATAAATATGAGTCAGTTGCCAAGCGGCTGAATTTTGATCACATGACCATGGGGATGGCTGCAAGGGTTGTAAGTGTGAGAAACTGTCATGTCACTTTTTTCAGTGCCTTTGTAACTTCGGTCACTAAATGAACAATTTGTTATGTCGAGGACTACCTACCTGTACTATAGTCTTCAGTCCCCTCTTTCTACTTAAATTATTCCTGCCTGTGCTCCTTTTGTACCACTTTAAATTTACCTCCACCCCGCCTAAGTCCGGCCCAGGCCTCAGTTTTGCCATCAGGTTGATCCAAAAATTTCTCCACAGAGAGGAATTGCAGTTAAGAAACTGAGGAGGATTGGACTCTGCAAAGGGCCAGCTTTTCACACCTAGAGCTCAGTTACCTGTAACAGGGGAACTAAGGACAGAGAATTTCTGGAAATACAATTTGACAAGATGTTGGCTTGAAAAACGGACCCTTGCTAGATGTCCTCACCAGCCCCAACCATCCAGATGATCCCAGTTCCTCCTTTGAAAGCTGCCCGTCTTTTTTTTCCTGTTGCAATAGAATGGGTAGCTAGAGGGCATCCATGTGATGAATGAAAGGAATTAAAGCTTCCAAGAAATCCAACTAGAAGCCTAGTTTTTTCCTCAACATCTTCTGACCGGCGTTGAGACCACATTCTCAGACTTTGGCCAGCAAGATACCAGCGACTTAATTTAGGACTTTTCACCTATAAAGCATATGTTCTTATCGCTAGTGTTATCCCTGCCCCCTCCAATAATATATATATAGAGACGGTTTCATCCAAGTCAAACCATTGCGCCCTCTAGCCCACAATGGCTTTTTCAAATGGCAAAAATTCAGGTGGATATCCTGCTATTTAAGATTCCTTTAGGCAGGAAAGGGAAAGAATAACATCTGGGAATTTTTTATCTGTGAGACACAAGCTACAGTCCCTTTTGAAAATGTCCGCAGAGAAAGTTCCTTGCTGTCTCTCCTGGCAGTTAAGCCTGCCTTTCTCCAGATGTCTCTGCCAGAGATTAGATAGTTTTGTTGTGTCTCTGCATTCAACGAGATGGATTTAGTCACCCTCCATGCAAATAAAGCAAAGTTTCCAGATAAATTAGCTCTCAGCTGCTTCCTTCCAATGAGAAGGCACATTCAGAACAGGAAAAGCATGCAGATAACTTTTGGCTCGGTGGGAATATGACTGAAATGTGCTTCCATTGTTAAGACATACACTAGGAGAGTCCTGTAACTCTCTGGATAATGCAGGGTTTCCAACACCCATTAGCCACTGGAAGTAGGACTAATGGTCAAGGATGATGGAAAATCCCTTGATTCCCATCAGTGGTGGAATTCTACCAGTTTTCCTACCGGTTTGGTGATTGTACACTTCACACAAAGCATTTAATAACAAATCAGAACCCTACTAATGGAAATCTTTGGTTTGCAAATAAACTGCTGGATGTTCCCTTCTCCTTTCTCTGTGTGAAAGCATACGTTGACAATTCATCTTAGTCAAGGAGGCAACTCAAACCTGGAGACCTCCTATTCCTTTCCCCATGCCATGCCCCTCCTTATCCAACTTTCGTACCATTGTAGCCATCCTGGTTGAGGTCTCCCAATGAGGCTATAGCACTGCCAAAGCGGCCAAACTCTTGGTGACCGGTCAATACAGCTGAGGCACCTGGCTCCATGCCATATGTCTTTTGCAGGTAGATATAGACCCTGCCCACCTCCTGAACACGGCCATCTTCCGTTTTTTCCATAAACAAGGGGGCGCCGATCAGCAAATCATCTAGTCTGCATGGCAGGAGAGAGGGGAGAAATGAAACAATCAACCCCCAAGCTTTGGGAGATAAATCACAGATGGCTGAGATCCATTGTAGAGTTGCCCAAAAGAGGGAGGGAAAAGAGATCTAGATTAGCTTTTCTCAGCATGGTTGCTCTTCCAGAATTCTCAGCCAACATGGGACACATACACCAGACCCTCTTGTTCATCATGCCCTGACTGCTTCTCCCTATAATTCAGTCTTCTCGGCAGATGGACATTTCACTTTCTAGGCAATTTCTGTAAGGTGTGCATCACCCAAACTTAAATCTGTTATCACATCCAATTTCCTCAGGAGCTGGGAAGAGCTGCTTCCACCCCACCCCAAGCTTACTGTTGACTAAGCAGCCCAAAACTCACCCATCACCATTGATATCCATGGCAGCCACAGCATACCCAAAATAGGCAGCCATCTGTTGAGACAAGTGAAAGGGATCAAGAAATGTTAGGATAGTACAGACATTTTGAGATCACGGAAAATTGGAGCTGTCATTTTCCCTGACCTACTCCTACAACTTCCTCATACCTGTCCTTACTACTCTTCCATGATGGAAGATAGGAAGAAATTTTCTCAACAGGCTAGTTGTCAGGCTTTACAAGACAAGGATAAAGACACTGTGGCCTCCCAAGTGACGTCAAACTGCAGGCTTCCCAACAGCTCCAGCCAACATGGCCAATAGTGACCAATGATGGGAGTTGTGAAGGCCACAATTTCCTCACTTCTACTCAGCTTCCACTACTCAAACTCGCCAGCTGCCTTAATGCACTACATTCAAGTTCATCTTAGCTGAAAGTACCTTCCCCCTCTTGGAAGTGCAGGCCTCTGAGGTATTATAGTGAACTATGGCCAAGAGAGGTCAGTAATCAATGGTACAGTAAATCTGAGAAATAAATAACAGGAATATAAACAAAGAAATAAATAAAGGCAAGGAAAAAGATTAAAATCCTGCAGAAAGTACTTCAAAACCTGTATCAGGAAACAATTACAGTGTAAAAGCCCGTTTCTTATGATCTTACACTAGATGCCATGAAAGTTGGAACTGTGCCATAAAAGTTGGGGTTATGCAGGCATTCTCCCATTATTGTACAGGTTTGTCAGCCCCACTCTCCGCTCCTGATATATCAACAGGCTCTGTGCTATTAGTATATCTTCACTGACATAAGGGCTAGAAGCTTATATCAATGATAGAAGAACAATGAAATCCCTACCGCAGAGGAACAGATTGGGAAAATGTTAGAATTTGCTGAAATGGAGAAAATAAAAACTTTTCTGAAAGGTGGGAAACCTTGTGTGGACTTTTTACTGAAAGAAGAAAAAAAAAGATATGAGGATTTATAGGTTTATGGATTAAAAAAGATGTAGACTAAATGAGAGGCTGGAGGGATCTGTATAACATTTAAGAGGGAGAGAAGATTATAAGATTGCAATTATTTGTTGAAGAGAAGGTTGGAAGTCATTATATTCCAACCTTTTGGTTTTCCCCCCCTTTTCTTGCATCTTTTTCTTTCTTTCTTTCTTTCTTTCTTTCTTTCTTTCTTTCTTTCTTTCTTTCTTTCTTTCTTTCTTTAGTTTTATCTTTTATTTCATGTAAAATTCTTAATAAATATAAATAAATAAGACACTTGTGACATTGAAATGGAAGCTCAGATTTTCGGAAAACAGAATTCACCATCCAAACACACTTTTTTTTGTAGTTTTGCTATCATCCTCAAGTAGTGGAGAAGGTAAGGAGGGATACGGGTGCTCTACAAGGAAAGTTTACTTCATCTATATGCCTTTCTCTCCTAACCAAATCATTCAGCAACCGTTCAAGGTTACAATGGCACTGAATGAATGGGGGTTATGAACCTGGGAGTTCCAGCTGTCCAAGCATACCTCCCCCCCATCATATGATTACAACGGAGATGCTTGGCAACCCATTCACATTGACAACCAACTGCCAAGTGCCCCATGATCACATGAATGCCAGTTGTAGCCTTGCATGCTGGCTTCCCCAGAAAGTCAAAGGAAAGCCGGTAGGAATTGCAAGTCATTAGGATAAGTCTCCTCGACCTGAGCACCCAGCCCCTCTGGGTTTGCATTATGCCAGCCACTTGCTTATGTGTACACACCCTCTCTACCTGTCCCAAAGATGCTTATTCAAGAAGCAACTGGACTTCCTTGTTGTTGTTTTGAAGACGTTTCGCTTCCCATCCAAGCAGCTTTCTCAGCTCTGATCAGTGAGAGCTGAAGATGCTTCTTGAATGAGAAGCAAAACGTCTTCAAAGAAAAATAAATAAGTCCAGTTGCCTCTTGAAAAAGCACCTTAGGGAGAACCATGACTTGGATGACTGAGAAGCTCCATAGACACCCTCTCTACCTGTTCCCCATCCCACACACACTCCCTGATCCACACCACATCCCGGTGCATCCCCCTAACTTGCATGGCACCCACACTCCCTTCCCTACCCCTATGGCTTTTCTCCCACACCCTTCAGTCCCTCCCCCATACATTCCCTCTTCCAGCCTTGTTCCCTCCCTTATCTGGCAGCAGCCACTTATCTGCCTTCAGGCTTGGGACTTGCAATATCCTGTCAGGTTCCCCAGGGACTTTTGTTATGGGAAGTTGGCAGGAAGGTGCCTTGCCTAACGGTTGTGGGATTCAGTTAACGACAATAATTCAGGACGGCAGAGGTTGCTGCTGCTAAACAGGGCAGTTGTGCTTTACAATTGCATTGTTTAGTGACAGAAATTCTGGTCCCAGTTGCCCCCATAAGTCAAGGATTATCTATAAGCCTCAGTTAGCAGTTCACCATGGTCTGCTAGGAGGAGACCATATAATCTTGTAAGGGAGAGCAAATTATTCTGATTTAAGAGGCTTTTTCAAATCATTTCAGTGTAACAAATGGATCTCTTCACCTGTTCTCCAGAAAAGTTGTATAATGGTCGAATGTCACTTCCATTTAGAACTGTTACCTGGTGGGGCAAAAAAAAAAAAGAGACAGCAAAAATAGATATAACATCAAACATCATCTCTCCACAGAAATTCCTTAAATGCTTTTAAGCTTTGTGAAGAGGAATCTAAATGGTTTCTCTTGACACAAAAGCAGTTTTCTCTTCTCATGGCTTCTTCTAGCTGCTCCCCCACCCAGCAAAAAATGAATTAATGAGGTGAAACAATCACAATATTTTCTATCTGGGTTGGTACAGCTGAGAGTAATCTTATCTAGAAGCACATCTGGACACCCAGCTACAGTTGTAGTTTTTAAAAAAGATACATACAGGTAGTCCTCGACTTGCAACAGTTTGTTTAGTGACCATTTGAAGTTACAAAGGCACTGACCAAAGTGACTTATGGCTGCTTTTCACATTTATGACCGTTGCAGCATCCGCAGGGTCACGGGATCAAAATTCAGATGCTTGGCAACTGACTCATATTTATGAAGATTGCAGTTTCCCGGGGTCATGCATTCATCTTTTGTAACCACCTGACAAGCAAAGTATATGGGGAAGACAGATTCACTTAACAACTGTGTTACTTACTTAACAACTGCAGTCTTAAACACTTAACAACTATGGCAAACAAAGTCATAAAATGGTGCAAAATTCACTTAACAACTGTCTCACTTAGCAACAGTAATTTTGGGCTCAATTGAGGTCGTAAGTTGAGAACTAATTGTATTTCATTCAAATGACCATAACATATCCCTCTTCTCATATCAACATTTTTTGCCCATTTTTCTTGCCCTTTCCCCAACTATTAGTAGAGGAAATTGGGAGATGATCGTCTTGGGGTAAGCATTCTTTGTTTGAATTTAGAGATCTATTCTGAATTATTATTATTTTTTTAAAAAGTGTCACTTCCAGGTCACAAAGCCACTGAGTTAGCACATCTGCGTTGTGGAAACCTTGAGAAGAAGCAGCTGTTAATACAAGCCCTCTGTCATCCAGGATTTGGTAGCTGAGGTTCCTGTCAAATGTCCTATTTGAACAAACTGACAGCGAAGTTATTTGGGAGAAGGGAGCGTCAAGGGAAGAGAAGCCAGGTCACAAGTTGAAGGCGGTAAAAGAAAGAACCCAACATGACTTCCACATCATGGGTCTGTGTTCATCCATAATCTCAAAGCGCCTTAGGAAAATCAGATTTCTTTATTTTGGGGCCCCTACATTCCCCTCCTCCTTAGAAATACATCGGTTGCTATAGCAGCCAACGGGGATCCACAACAAACAAGCAGTTCCATGAAATGGAGATGGGAAGGAGGAACCAACCCCACATAGCCACAAGGCAATGCCTTGTTTCGCGTGTGATCAGGTTAATTCACTTAGCTTTAATCATTTATCTGGATACAGTACAGCTGATGACTAAGGGTCATGGAAAGGGCTGATGTTTCTAAGAAAATCTGTCCTTGTTGCAAGCAAGCCCAGCATGCAAAGCAGAAGGAGAAACATGGACCTACTCCCGCAACACACCAGCTGATGCCATGGCAGCAAAAGCCCAACCTGAGAATGCTGTCAGACATAACACTAATGGGATTTTCACCTTTGCAATAGTACGTCGCCCTCCTTCCAACCCTGTTAAATAATGCTGCTCAAGTATTAGGGAAGTGAATAACTTGCCCCTGACCCTTTGTTTTAAAGCAATGCTACCAAGTCCAGGAAGATCAGGTGGAAGAAGAGAGGGCTGTACATAAAGCTCCAAAAAGAGACCACATTAAGATTAGAATGGGGCTTTTGCCACTTTAAAAACTCTGCTTCCAAGCAGTACAGAGATAATATATTTCTTGAGAGAAAAGGACTCCGCTTCAATCTGGCTTCAGGCAAATTTTTGGGAAAGAGGGAATTCCCAGTTTTGGGCTCAGGCATTCAGAAGAGTTTATTATACTCCCTTGGCAGATACTTCAGCTAACATGAATGCTTTGACTGAATAGAACCGAAGATAGGAAGTGGTTTTCAAGACACATAATGATTTGGGAGAAGGTTGGCATTAAATTACACCCGGAGAAAACTGTAAGCTTGGGTGCATTCTCAGCAATATGTGAGAACAGTCAACATGCTGCACCAGCCCATGGCCTCCTCCAAGTAGCTTTCCATGGGATTATAGGACCAAAGCTAGCAGCTCTAGTAAGGGGTGATGTCAGACTTTTTGAGAACAGTGAGAAAAAGAAAGAAAGAATAGAAATGACATGGATATGGCTCTTACGTATCCATAAGTGAGATTTCCTTTGGGAACACCAGCCACAAAATCTGCAAGAAACCAAGTGATACCAGATATATAATATGGCATTAGAGCATGGGTTCTTGTACTTAGCAATCATTCAAAATTATGACAGACCCCCCCCTCCTCAAATCGACTTATATGACCCAGTTTTGAAGTTCCAATGGCCGCCCCCACTCACTGTAGTCACGTGACAGGATTTGGGGCGCTCAACAACCAGCCCACACTTAAAGTTGTACGTAGCATCCCACAGCCACATGACTGCAATTTATGACGTTTTTGCCAGAACCAAGTATTTACTTCTGGTTTTTGGCAAAAACGGCTCTTAGCAAATGAAGAGTTCATTTAACAACCGTGGTATTCGCTTAACGACCACAGCATGCGCTTTTACGGTTGCTGTGTTCACTTAACAACCATCTCAAAAAGGTCATAAAATCAGGCCTAGTCACATGCTGACCCATTTACGACCATTACGACCATAATTGCCAGGTTCAATTATGGTCATACGTTGAAGACTACCCTGTAACGCAAAGTAAGTTTCTACTCCTCATGGAGGAGAAGGTAATCTATGTTATTCATCCTAACAACATTTTCTCTCCTAAGTAGAGGCAACCACCATTTTTGTTGATCAAAACGAAGCAGCCAAGAAACAACAATTGAATCATACAGACAACCTGAAAATGTTTTATTTTAGAAAAGGGTTAATTGGCAAATTTAGTTGGCATTTCATTTGGAAGGCAAATAAGTTGTGTATTATTGGTGCTTATATACAGTCCCAGCTTCTTATTCCTCCCAAAAGTATGCATGTATTATCTCCCACAGCAATGAATGTGATAGTCCTCCCTCTAGCCTCTTTAGTACCTTCAGTGGCATCTCCGCTGAATTCACCTACAGCCACAGAATAGCCTAGGAACAAAACACAAGGAATTATGCAATGGATAACAAACGATTTGTCGCTAACCAAGACCATTGGAGGGTCCCGTTATCATTGCAGAACAACAGAGAATCCTAAATCACAAAATAATTGTGGTTTAGCCAGGAATGCAACCTATACTCAATATCACCTAAGCAGCCTCATCTCAGTTGTGTGTTAGAATGGTCAGTCCCTTGTGCTTTGTAATGGGAAAAAACAACAACAACCACAAGGTGAAAAAATGATTGCATTTGGCACCAAAGACAGATCAACTTATAGAATAGAGCTCATTTCAATTCCAGTGTGAACCCTCATTGGTTTGTTACCCTGAAAAGACAGCCAATCAGAAACAAAAGAAATCCATAGTATTTACAATATTCTAGAACAGTCTTTTTTTTAGCCTTGGAAGAACTTGAAGAGGTGTGGTTTACAACTCCTAGAATTCCCCAGCCAGTTTAGGCTTCCCTTGTTAGTTAGGGAATTTTGTGAGTTGAAGTTCACACATCTCCAAGTTGCCAAGATTGAAAAGACTGTTCTAGGACAACTGTGATGAGTAATTTATGAATTTTACTCTTAGGGAATGACACACATCAGAAGCAACATTTCCCCTTAGAAATGAAGAACTACAGGTCACACAGAGCATATTGTCTGATGGTGGTTTACAGTGACCTCCGAGTCACCTCACAAGTCCGTGGGCTTGATTAAACTAGCTTTACTCTCTGAACTTAAAGAGTGTGCAAAGTGGCTGACCTCTAGCCTAGGAGAATCAGACAAGCCAATAACTCTTTCACCCTCTCTGCCAGTATAAACCGTAGTCAGTGCTTTCATGCAGCCTGGCCTTTTGTGTGAAGAGCACCTCAGGGGCACAGCACTGGTTCCATTTATGTTCTTTTTTGCCTACAGGCACGAAGAACCAAGCAAAAGACCTGTTGAGGGAAGTGCTGCAGTTCAGGTTGGACTAGATGACCTACAAGGTCCCTTCCAACTCTGTAAATGAGGCTCCCGCCTGAGTGTTTCTATTGGGGAGAGAGCTGGAATTTTCAATTTGGGGAAGACAGTTGAATTGTATGTGTGCGTTGATCTCCTTGGAATCAGGGACAACAAGGCAGGATTGCTTTAAGGATCTGACTTTTGGGAGTCCAGCAGCCTAATCCTGGTATAAACAGAGCTGAGGATGAGAGCCAGTTTGGTCTAGTGGTTAAGGCACCAAGCTAGAAATCAGGAGACAGTGAATTCCAGTTCCACCTTAGGCATGAAAGCCTGCTGGTGACCTTGGGCCAGTCCCTCTTTCTCAGCCCAATTCACTTCACAGGGTTATTGCGGAAGAAATAGGAGCAGGAAAGAATATTAGGTAAGTAAATCATATCAAATTATTTAATAATAATGATATCTGTAACACCGCCAAACATCCAGATTTGCCTATCCCAGGTCCTTGGTAAGGTCTCGCTAGGTAGACAAAAATGCCAAACCCAGTCTGAACATCTGGCTGACTGAGAGATTAATAATAATAACAACAACAACAACAACAACAACTACAATAGTAATAAAGCCAGGATAAAAATAAATAAATAAATGAGTCAAACATTTGAGAAATATCAGTCCTATGGAACCAGTTCTATAATTAGGATTCCTATCCATGTTATACAAAATTAACAAAAGCAGATAGTCGCCATGGGGAAAAAATATATCTGTCAAAGTCAAGGCTATTTTTCCATCATCTGTCTTTTCCGTTGAACTCACCCAGGTAACTGTCATCCGCTTTGATGTGAGCCTGTTGTGTCTTGAGCTCTTCTCTAACCACAACGTTTAAAAACTCAGGTTCATAGGATTCTTCAATGGCCTCTTGAGTTGCTGAGAACACTTGGCCTAAGGGGCAAGCAGAGGGCAACAATTAGCGCCTTGGACTAAGAATAGAGAGATCCAGGTTCAAATCCCCATTTAGGCTGGAAATCTCTTAAGGTGAGGAAAACTGTTAATGTCTTGCAGCTCAAGTTATTTCAACAAAATTGCTATGGAGAAATAAGTGAGGGGTGTGTGTCATGTTTCTTGGCGGGAATAGGCAAGAAATAACATAATGAAATTTGAGAGATGTCAGAGGAAGATTGTCAGAGATCATGTTCAGATATGTGAGGCAGCTGGCGCTTATGGTTATCAAACAGTCACACGGAACTTGCAAACAAAATACATATTTCAAATAATGCCATTTGTGAATCTTAGCCGCCGCTTTCCTGTTCAAACTAAATAAAGGAATTCCAACCCCCATGGATGAGAAGGGACGCTCGAAAATAGGACAAAGAATAATAAGATTTATCTGATCAGGCAAATAAACATTGTCGGATAATGAATACATAAAACACAATGTATTTCAAGTAACATAAACAGAGGGAAATATGCTTTGGAAAGAATCCAGTCTCTTCCTAGCCCTCCAAAAGGGTTTCTACTCGATCCCATGGAGGCCTCCTTTTCTCTGTATCAAATTTATATAAGAGTTCTGAATCAAAATCACTTATTTTCTGTGAGGGCCCTTCATGTCAGCCAGTATATGTTCTCAGGCACCATATGGAGGGAGGGAAAGAACACATGGAAGCAAAGGAAAGAAGACAGGTAGTCCTTGATTTACATTCAGTTCATTTAGGGATTGTTCGAAGTTACGACACTGGAAAAAATGACTCATAACGGTTCTTCACACTTAACGACTGTTGCTGCAGCATCCCTACGGTCATGTGATGAAAATTCAGACGCTTGGCAACAGACTCATATTTATGACGATTGCAATGTGATCGCCTTTCGCGACTTCTGACCAGTGTAGTCAAAGGGGAAGCCAGATTCCCTTAACAACCATGTTGCTAACTTAATAACTGCTGTGATTCACATAACAACTGCGGCAAGAAAAATCGTAAAATGGGGAGGTAAAATTCCCCTAACCACTGTCTCGCTTAGCAGCATACATTTTGGACTCCGCTGCGGTTGTAAGTTAAGGGCTTCTTGCATTTCTGTTAGATCAGCTTTGCAAACACCGATTCCCCTTTGACAAAATGGCAGCATCTACCTCTCTCCGGGCATAGAAACATCTTTCTAGCCATTACCACAAATTCCCAGTATTTTTTTTAAACGTACAAATCTCCCTAGTCTTCGCTTCTGCTGCCTTTTCTCTTCTCTTCCTTTGTGCCCAATTAAAATTCCTCACAGTACCGTTTCCTGCTGTAGCCTGGGTGGAAGGTGAAAGAGATGAAACCAAGCTATGCTCCAGGAGGCCTGCCTCTAACCTATATCGTGCAATTGTAGGTAGATGTAGCTGCCAACTCACCTTGCCAGAAGTAGCTTCCAGGGCCACCAAGAAGAACTCGTCCTGCCTGCAGAGAGAAAGACATTTCTTAAAATCCACAAAATTCTTATTTAACCACCTCTACCTTAATGTGTTGGAGATTTCGTCCTTAAATGTCCTAACCTAAAGTGCATTGTCCTTACATTGCCCCACACTCAAGAAGGAAGGGAACTCACCTTTGTGAATTCAGCACTGAAACCACTTTGACAATAGCCTTGTCCAGCAGGTGAGTTCAAATCTGAAAGAAGGGATTGGGGGAGAAAAGAGTTGAGAAATTCAGAGAAGCTGAACAAGAAATGAGTGGCATGAAATCATGGTGCAACAAGAGTTTATGTGGGTAATGTAAGAAACCCATTGATATCGCAGCTTGGGTTTTTCAATGAGATGTCTTTCAGTTGTGTTTCCTGCGCATAGAGGCACACATCTATTGTAGGAGGGGTTCAGGATAAAACTCCCACTTAAAGGCATCAAGAAGTAGGAATTCAGGATTACCTCTTCTACTCCCCTGGCTTCTCTATCTCTCAAATTAAACTCATCATTTAATCTGATATAAACCGAGCAAAGCTTCGTTATAATAATGACTGAGCATGAGGCATGGGGAACATGTGGTGTTCATTAACAACCAGGAGAGCCACAGATTTTCCATCCTGCAGAACAGAGCTTTAAAAAAAAAAAAAAGGCCATACGCAAATTGCTTATTTTAATAACATAGTGGGATTTATTTCTTTAAACACTTCATTAATGCTTCCTGAATGATAAAAGTGGAAAGATGGGTTACGAGCAGGGATGGGCCAAGTTCTTCTATTTGAGAATGGAATATTCTGCTTCTCCTTTGGATTAGCCAATCTCCTTTGGACCGTGCCATCCCAGGGGTGGTCTGGTGGTTTTTAGAAGTACCTAAATCATTTAAACTGGAAGCAGTTTGAGGCATACTGGGTGTGGTCTGGGCATGAAACAGGCCTGTTTTGTCCAGAATACCATGTCTAGGATACCTCAAACTGTTTCCGATTCAGAGAATTTACTTTCAGAAACAATCATGCTGCCCCAGAGTGTCACGGTCCGGAGGGGAATAGAATGTTCTTTAGTTCAAAGAAATGTTTCATTCCCCAAGTAGATTCCCACATTCCTAGTCATGACAGAAAGATATTTCTTCCACCTGACGTAAAACAATATTTTAAAACAATATTTTAATTCAATGCCATCTGGAAAGAGGCACTGGTTGTGTCTTGCCTTCCAGAAGGCACAGGCATGGAACAACACTTCCTTACTCTCATGCTTACATACGTGTTTTGGGATTATGGCTTAGAATTCACATTTTTATTTCTTAATCAAATTTATAGAGCCGCCCATCTCACCAAAGGCAACTCTGGGCAGCACACAACAAATATTTGGGAAGCATCATTGAGAAGACCTACACCACCTCTCTCTGTCTCTGTCTCTTTCTCTCTCTCTATCATCTTTATTATTTTTATAAATAACTCAAGGTGGCCAATATACTTACCTTCTCTTTTCCCTACAACACCAACCCTGTTAGATGGGCTGAGCTGAGAGTGACTGACTGACTGGCCCATGATCACCCAGCTGGCTTTCATGCCTAAGACAGGACTAGACTCACAGTCTCCTGGTTTCTAGGCCAGCACCTCAACTCCTTCTCCAAATTGTGCCATGCTCCAAAATATGCCATAAAGACCCCCAGCCTGCGAATCTAGCATTGCCAGTGTACTATAGACACCTCGCACAATATTTACTTGTCCCTGCTCCACCTGACGTTTTACATTTCTAAAGCAGGCTTTCAGGTCTGGATCATCTGTTCAGAGAAAGGTCAAAAATGAAGAGGGATAATAATGATTGTTCTCTCTGAGGAGAGACTAAAGGAGGTAGAGATAGGGACCACAGCTGCCATTCCGTAAATGAGCAAGCTCTCCTACTGCAGCCATTTTCTAAGAGAGAACACAGCATGCTCTCAATATTTCAAATTGTCCAATAGACTTCAAAGGTTGGAGATCCAGGCCAGATGTCCTGGGACACCCCTCCTCATTGACCATTCATTATTTTGGAGGATGATAATATTTTCATTATCAATCCCTTCTCTCATAGACCGCATATTACCTGAACGGCAAGGAGCATATTCCACAAATTTAGTAAAGTTGTTGATTGACAGGTAGCATGTGCCCACAACTTCGCGCTGAGGTTCATCTTTAGTTGTCCGCCAGCTGTACAAGGGGGCACAGGCCTGGTAGGAAAAAAAAATCAGCCTAGTAAGCAAAGGCAGAGAGAGAGCTCAAGGGTCTACGAGTAACATCTAACCTGCAGTCAACCTTTCCACTGTTGTCATTAGATCGGCCAGGCCAGGCCCTACCAGAGGGAAACCCCACCTTAAGAACTTCACTATTCTATAGCTTCTCCCACAACCAACTTCCTTTCCAACACTTTCATTCACAAGCAAATGAGTTCTTATCCCATCCTGAACATCAGTTCCCGTGAAGGGTTAGCCTTCCTCTCAAGCAGCCAACTCAGGCAGCAGATGGTTAGGAGGTAGAAGACAGATGTTGAAGGCCATGTGGCCTACACATACACACACACACACACACAACCTTGCTATCTTTGTGTCTTAAGTTGCAATGGAAAATTTTGCTCCATTGCTGATGTTGACAAAAGTCATGTTACTTCCATGGAATAAGAAGATGGCTAGTAACCGCTTCTTCATCTGAAGCATTCAAATGCCTTGATTCAGTCCTGTCTAATAAAATAAAGCCATGCTCATCCCCGCTAGCCTCACCACTGGCAGCAATTTGTTTAAAGCAGGATGAATTTGACAGTGCTTTTAAAACTCTGTTAAGGCATCTTTGTTAATCAATATGAGTTCCTTTTGGATATAAGTTTTTAAAACGTCTAAATACTGCTTGGAGACTTCCCAGAGCAGCCTCTGCTAAAGCTGACAAGTTTTAGAAGTTGCTTACAAGTCTCACCATTGGCTAAATCCCAGCTTGTGCTTCTTCCTGGGACTGTTTCTACTTTTTGCTCTCATTTGTTTCTTACAGGAACAATCTGTATTTCAGACTTTGAGTATTTGATTTTGCAAAGCACCCTGAAATCAAATTCGAGTAAAAATAAACCTATCTACCTGTCTTTCTATTTACCTTTATAGTGCAAGCAAACAGATCATAAAGTAAAATGTGTCTCTAATCTAATTTGGGGAGGAACCCAACGACCCCAGAAGAGAAAGGAATTTCTTCCTTGTACAATGGTGCCAAACCCCAAACCCACATGCTTAAAAAGCTGAAGGCTCTTACTCCTGCCTCCCCCCGAAATTGCCTTTTTAGCTATATCCCTCTTTCTCTTGAATTTAGGGCATTGGAAAGTTGAAATAGCAATTTGCAGTATAGCCAAGTGACGACTGAAGTAGGGGGAAAAAAACAACAGCACAATAGCATTGTTGACCCGTGAATCCTTGCAATCAATGGCAGGTAAAATTAAACACAGATGTTGATAAATGAAAATCTTTTCTAAGATTTTTCTTTTAGACATACAGTAATCAAGAATCTATTGAATGAAAACCTCAGACTTCTCCTTTCAAGTGGCCAGGGAAACATTCTTCATTCCAAATTTCTGTTAGAGGCTTCCTGGAAGAAGCAATGAATTGGCATGATCTACACAGTCTTCAGACTAGTAGTCTATTCACACCAACTTTCAAGATAACAGAGTAACAGAGTTGGAAGGGACCTTGGAGGTCTTCTAGTCCAACCCTTTTCTAAGGCAGAAATGATATTAATTTTTTTCATGTTAAACTTTTTGGGACAAATTTCTGTTTTTGTTTTTGTTTTAATCTAGAAAGGGATGTTAGATTGATGACAAACCCAAAAGCCACTCCTTTATCTCTTCTTCCCTTTTGGGATTTGGGTTAAACAGCCTCTCTGCTCATTGCTAGTGGCGACAGGATTTAAACTACAACATTTCTAGCCTTCGTGAGTAGAAAAAAAGTGTTTCCAAATGTTGCGATCAATAGATTTAGAACAGGGTTCTTCAAGTTTGACAAGTTTAAGACTTGTGGACTTCAACTCCCAGAATTCCTCAGCCAGCTTGGGTGTTGAGATCCACAAGTCTTAAAGCTGTCAAGCTTGGACAACCCTGATTTAGAAGACAAATGTGTGTGGGGGGGGGGGGGGGGGAGGAAAGAGTGGAGGAGGGAATCTGAGTAGGATTCTCCACAGTCCAAAATGTCATGGTTTCAATTTCATCACCCTGTATAGACCTGCCCCTCCCATTGAGTAGCACAAGCAGAACAATGAATGAAATGTATACACTTTGCGGTGTCCTTTCTTTTTAAGAAAACACAACAAGCAGAGAGAATAAACAATGGGCCTTATAAAGCCATTTTATACACCCACAGGAATTTGCAACAACTTAGATCCTTCCATATATTGTTGATTGGAAGGCTGGCAGCCTAAAACATGGGGCAGCCTCTTTTTTGTTGAATAGCCCTGCCACAAAGGAGACAGGCTGGGTGTAATGTAACAAGCAGGTCTTGATAGCTATCTTTAAATACTCAGCTGCTTCAAAGAGGACCTAAGATAACTCTAGTCTCTTATCACAAACAACTGGACAAGAAGCCAATTCCTTGAAAACGGCAGGAAGGCTGACTCGAGGATAGCATTGAGGGCAGAAGAACAAATATTTCCCAAAGGAATAAAAATGGAAAGGGTCAATCAAGAAGCTGCCTAGGCCAGGGGTTTTCAACCTTGGGAACTTTAAGACCTGTGGAATTAAACTCCCAGAATTCCTCAGCCAGCTGGCTGAGGAATTCTGGGAGTTGAAGTCCACAGGTCTTAAAGTTCCCAAGGTTGGAGACCCCTGGCCTAGGCCATCTTCAATAGTGAACTGACTTTATAGAGAAGCTTTTATTTAACACTAGTGATCTCCAGATGTGTGGACTTCAATTCCCAGAATTCCCCAGCCAGCATGGCCACTGCTGAGAAATCTGAGCATTTGGGATCATGCCAAACTGGAAGTCAATGCAATTTGGGGAGAGCAATAATAAAAAAAGGCGTATTGATTGGGAGATCAGAGAGTCACATTGGTTTTTTGCAGGCTGCAAAACCACTTGCACTTTTGGGTACTTGTAGGCAGCTTTCAAATTCAGGTTGCACACTGGATTACCAACCTGTACCAAGAGGGGGAAAAACAACAACAGATAGGGACATTTCCAACTCCCTGATTTTATTATTGGCTTGTTATCCCTCCCTGCCTTCCTTCTTTCCTTCAGGAGCTTAAGGTCACATACAGAGCACTCCCTCTTCATTTTTTCCCCTCAAACAACAAGTCTTTGAGGTAGGTAAAGAGAGAATTTTCTGAAATCATTCAAAAAGGAACTTCCATGGCCGAGAGTGGGCATAACCCTGCATCTCACGAGCACCTTTAACCATGACATCACACTGGCTCCTGTCATTCAGAGCTCAGAAAGAGACCCTTGATGGAAGCTAGTTCAGGCCACAAAGATGGACTCATATTGCCATGAGGTTCAGCGTGGCACATTCCTGTTGCTCCCTAAACCAGACCATGATCCAGTTCTTGAAGTGCTTAGAGAAATCACATGGGACAGTTTAAAAGACAGAGCAAGCAGTAAGAGTTAATCTGTTTCTACCCTAAAATCACAAGGCAAGAGATAGGCTAATGGCAGGGCTGGTTGTTGTACCATGTATTTTTCCTATCTTCGCAGTCTAAACTATCAGGGATAACTCAGCCTGTACAGGCTCCTCTTACCAGTGCATGTGGTTAAAAAAGAAATCAGCACATACGGGACAAAACCCCACAGTAAGATTCGCAGCTAAGGTTACCAACATGCTGCATCTAGATAAGATCAATTTTACAAACGGGCCAGATCCACGGGATTTGTAAATGTATACTTAATGGGCATAATTTAGTCTGCTCTCTTAAAAGCAGGATTGTATTAAAAGACTGCTCTTGCAACAGGATGAGCTCTTGTTCCTTGCCCCAGCTCCTGCCCACCTAAGAGTTCAAAAGCATGCAAATGCGAGTAGATTAATAGGTACCACTTGGATGGGAAGGTAATAGTGCTCCGTTTGTCTTTGGCGTATAGCCATGCTGGCCATATGACCTTGGAAAATGTCTCCAGATAAGGCCAAAAAAACAGAGGTGAGCACCACACCCTAGTGTCAGACATTGGACAGGGAAACCTTTATCTTTTGACACACACACACACACACACACACACACACACACACACACACACATTTTTAAAAAATGAAAACATATTCCGAAGACATCCAATCATGAATTCCTTGTTTCTGAGGAAGCTCTCTAAAAGTCTGGAAGCCGAAAATAAAATAAAAATTGTTTTGAAGAAAACATGGGACAATCTTGGCAACTGGAAAATAAGTACAGGTGGTCCTCGACCTACGACCACAATGGAGCCCAAAATTTCTGTTCCTCAGCGAGACTACTGTGAAGTGAATTTTGTCCCGTTTTACGACCTTTCTGGCCACAATTGTTAAGGGAATCCCTGCAGTCCTTAAGTTAATAACACTGTTGTTAAGTGAATCTGGCTTCCCCTTTGACTTTGCTTGTCAGAAGGTCGCAAGAGGGGATCGCGGGACCCTGGGAGACGCTGCAACCATCATAAGTACGAACCAGTGGCCCAGCATCTGAATTTTGACCATGTGACCGTGGGAACGCTGCGATGGTCGCAAGTGTGAAAAACAGCAATAGGTCACTTTTTTCAATGACATTGTAACTTTGAACAGTCACTAAAAAAAAAACTGTTGTAAGTTCTACCTGTAGCATGTTTATCAATAGAAAAACTAGCCTAGTAGTCGCTAAGCCAGAGTTTCAATTTTCCTTGATCATGCCTTTGAAATTTGATCATGCCTTTAAAAAAGTTTTTTTTTTGCAATTTAGCAGAATAATAATCTGTACAGGTAGTCCTCAATTTACAACAGCTCGTTTAGTGTCTGTTCGAAGTTACAACAGCATGAAAACAGTGACTTGTGACCCTTTTTCACACGACTGTTGCAGCATCCCGGTGGCCACAGGATAAAAATTAAGATGTTTGGCAACTGGTTCGTATTTATGATGGTTACAGTGTTTCCCAGAGTCACGTGATCCTCTTTTTGCAACTTTCTGACAAGCAATGTCAAAGGGGAAGCCAGATTCACTTAACAACCGTGTTCGTAACTTAAGAACTGCAGGGATTCACTTAGCAACTGTGGCAAGGAAGGTCGTAAAACAGGGCAAAATTCGCTTCACAAATCTCTCACTTAGCAACATAAATTTTGGGCTCAAAATTGTGGTCACAAGTTGAGGACTACCTGCACTGACTGCCTAACCTGGTGGCCACCCATACAGGTTCGACAATAGCTCTCATCACCCAGCCGGAGCAGCAGAACTGGCTGGACTTATGGGAGCGGCACTTCTGGTGGAACGGAACAGGTGGGGGAACGACCAGATGGGAGAAGGTTGCTCGTCATCCTTAAAAATGTCTTTCACAAAATGTTGTAATATGATGTGACCACACAGACATCACGTTGCAATTGTAGCCTGAATAACAATGATTGAAAGGAAGAACACCTGGCCTTCTAATGTGAACCTGAATTAAACCTGGGAATTAAGGAGAAACTTCCTAACTATGAGAATAACCAATTAATGGAACAGCTTGTCTTCAGGAATTGTGGAGGCTTCATCACCGGAGGTTTTTAAGAAGAGACTGGACAGCCACCTGTCTGAAATGGTATAGAATCCCCTGTTTGAACAGGGGGCTGGACTAGAAGACCTCCAAGGTCCCTTCCAGCTCTGTTCTGATTCTAAATGTTAAGGTGGTCAGGAGAGAAAGAGAGAGACAGTGGAGTTAGCAGCGTCTTGTGCTTGTTTACCAAGAAGTTAAGTCCAGGTTTGGTTGAGGATCTTTGCTCCAAGATAAGGGCATGTATAATTGCAATTATAAACTTGCTATGAGCCTGTGGATGAAAAGACTACTATTTACACACAGTGGGTGAGAAGGGCAAATGTCTCCAGAAATTAATGCAGCGGCACCGTGGTTTTTGTTTCTCAAGACACAGGAAGAAATACTTCATTTTTGGATTTCATCACTCCCAGATTTCAGCTGATGGCGCAACAGCCAACAATGTGGTAGTGACAACTTCAATCATCCTGGAGCATCTCTTTTGGGATCAGAAATTCTTGTGTTCCCATATCTACCATCTAAAGCATCTCTATCACCGAAGCAAGCAAGCAGAGTCTGTGACTGAGCTCCAATCATTTGCGCAACACCTCCTGCTCAATTATCCTTTATGGCAGCCAACACTTACCAAGATGGATTTGCCGTGTGATCGCACCGTGGCTCCAAACCATTGGAGAGATTTAAATTCCATTTGCTCTAGCGTCCCATTGAGTTCCTCTAAACGGGATCCTGCAACAACACAAAAGGATAAACGTGGCCTAAATATGCATTTCAAGATATTTCGGTATCCGTAACACAATTTTTCTCCAGGGTGAAAAAAGAAAAACAGGTTTTAGTCTCAAGACAAGAAAAAGTTGTTAGGCTTTATGTTAGGAATGTAAGTCACCTAACAGTTATTTGGGTTGGAAATATATAAACCAGGATAGACATTTTTGTATCTTTAAGAGAATCCTAAAACTGTAATTGGGTGTGGTTTCTCAAACAGCCATAAGATGGAGCCAGAAACCTGGGTTGATTAGTCTCAGAAAAGAGTGTGAGTGAGTCTCTGTTTCCTTCTGTTGGAGTGTATTGCCATTCCTCCTAATTGACTACTATTCTTGGATTTGATGTAAGTCTGTTACTGAACTGTTTTTGACACTGGACTTTGTTATTGGATTATCCCTGGACTGAAAACTGACTGATTTAACCGTGAATGACTTGGACTGTGTTTGAACTTTGCTTAAATGTTTATGGGAAGTAAAAACCTACATTTACTGTACAGTGTATCTGTGTGCTGTGTGTGTGTATTATTCTTCACTACTCTCACTACGTCTCCCTGTATGCGCTCATTCTCCTAATGGGGAATTACCTCAACACTTTAAGTACTGCACTACGTTTTCCTTAGCGGAGGTTAATGAATAATCCAGATTAGCTAAATTCACACAACATAGGGTTGGAAAACATTTGAGCTACAGTTTCTGTTGTGCTTTCGTTCAATATATGGTATCTGAGGCCTGGGATCCTGCCTAGCACCTTCTATCCAGGGGTGGGATTCAAATTTTTTAACAACCGGTTCTGTGTGCGTGGCTTAGTTGGCGGGCATGGCTTGGTGGTCATGTGACTGGCTGGGCGTGACTTGTGGTCATGTTATTGGCTGGGCGTGGCCAATTCAATATCACTCACATCGAGGCATGCATCTCCTCGCCTGGCCTCTCATGACTGTGGGGATGCTGCAACAGTCGTAAGTGTGAAAAATGGTCATAAGTCACTTTTTTCAGTGCCATTGTAACTTTGAATGGTCACTCCACACAAGCAAAGTACTAGCACAGGAAGGGGGAAAAAAACTCCAGAGAAGTTCCCGAGACAGAAAGTCTAGTCCTGCCAAGAACGTAATAAGGGTTAACAGAGAGGCAGTTTCTGTAAGCAACACCAGAATGTTTCCTTCGTGCCTTCCTTACAGGATTAGGCCAGTAATTTCTTCTAACAACCGGTTCTCCGAACTGCTTAGAATATTAACAACCGGTTCTAGCGAATAGGTATGAACTGGTAGAATCCCACCCCTGCTTCTATCCCAAGAAAATTGCTGGCTTGAAAAAAATCAATGCAATAATCCAAACCAAAGCAATCAGCCTCCACCCTAGTATCCTATGATAGACTTCTGCATGAGTTACTGATTTGGCTTTGCTTCCTTACCTTTTGAGAAATTCTGCCACATCTGGGTATACTAAACCGTTCTGTGCTGAACAGTGCAGAAATACCCAGAGGTTTTCTGTTGTCTTCCTGCATGATTTATTGCTTCTTCCAAAGACTAAATATTGTATATCCTGATCAGCAACTCAAGCAGAAGTTCTATTAATAAGCACTTTCTAAAAGGACATTTTCTTTCAAGAAGGCACTCGTCCAATTTTAATTTAGAACCGGGAGAGGGGGGGAAATTGAAGAGGTACCCCAGCTGTCAGAAATTCCAAAAACCTTGGCCTAGAAATTTTAAGCAATGACCTCGATTTTCCTGATAATTGGTGCCGTTGGTTTCAATCCAGACTTGAAAAGGCATCCCTCTAGCTCTGAATCAGAGAAGTTCACCAATATTCCCACTGCTCAGTACCAAGGCAACCATCCAGAAGAATATAGCAATGCATCCTGGGGTCTTGGAATAAGACACCATGTTGTCTTTTTCCCTCTCTCACAAAATCCCATTGGAGAGTGAACTCAGTGTATTGCTGCAGGCCAGGTGCAAGCAATCGAAAAAAAAGGGTTACCAGTTATTTCTGGTCTGGAAAGGCCTTTCCACTTCTCTTCCTCCCCTGCCAAAAATTCTGCTTCATTCTATATTATTCTCTCCACTTCCACCCTCCTGCTTTATTCCATTGACACCGTGGCCTAAAAAGTTTTTTTTTAAAAAAAAGAAAGGCAAGCACAAAAACTTTTTATTGTTTACTATTTGAAAAATCCCACAAAGCTGCTCTGAACAGGATTCTAGAAATTCCTTCGCTGTTTATTCACACACACACACACAGAGAGAGAAAAATGTCATAATACCATATTGTTTTCCATCTCCCCCCACCCCAATTTCCCATTGTTTCCCTTTGGCAGGAGAAGAGAGGACTCAAAAGAGGGCAAACAATGACGGAGGAAGTTTCAAAAATGCAGACAACCCTCTCCATCCCCACCCTGAAGCCCACCACCACAATCTTCCGGAACGGCCTCACATCTACGATTGCTGTCATTCTCCATCTTGTGATCCAAAGTACTCCAAGACCCCCTTGAAATCTTTCCAAGACTCCTGCTCTCCCTACACTGTGCGGGAGAGCAGAGGGTGGGCTATATGACTTAATCTAACATTCACATCCTGCATCTCTGGACAGCTGCCAAGGACCCAGTAGGGGCTCCCTGACACCTGCCCAGTGGCCCCTCCCTTTTTTTTAAAAAAAAGCCAGCAGCTGCCATTTTAGTTTTCCACAATTTTCTTGATTGATATTAAATAGGGAGTATTACAGTCAATGGAAATCAAAGCCAATGTGATGACCCGGGGCGTGACACAAAGGCAACACAGTCATATAATCAGTAGGAGTCCCTTTATTAGCTCCAACTTTGTCCCCAGTGTCCTGGTTACCTCCTAGTTGGAGAAAAACTCTCCCAGGAACAGCCTTTGGCTGCAGAGAATCAAGTCCAAAATGTGGTCAACAAAAACTGTGACTATAAGTCCAATCAAGGCAAAATGAGGTAATTAGTCCAGCAGAGAAGGAGCAAGAATTTCAGACGAGAAGGCACGGCAATAACTCAACACGGTTGGGAGGACCCCAGGAACACAGATAACCACACACAAGATAAACTCACGTTTGTTCCCAGCAGCTGCTGCACTCAGCATGCATCTCTTTTAAACTCTTATTCCCAGGTGTGGCTAATGAAGGGAATCAGGGCCCTTTCCTCCCCCATTATCATCATGCGATCAAAATTTGGATGCCTGGGAACTGGTTCATATGTATGACCGTTGCTGGTTCCTGGGGGGGTCATGGGATCCTCTTTTGGGATCTTCCAACAAGCGAAGTCAATGGGGAAGCCAGATTCACTTAACAGCTGGGTTGCTAACTTAACAACTCCAGTGATCCACTTAACCACACAGGCGTAAGATGGGGCAAAGCTCACTTAACAGATGTCTCACTTAACAACAGAAAAACTGGGCTCAATTGTGGTTGTAAGCCAAGGACTACCTGTACTTTGGGCCATGGCAGCATCCCCACAGTCATGTGATCAAAATCTGTATGTTTGACAACTGGCATGTGTTTATGATGGTTGCAGCATCCTGGGGTCACATGATTGTCTTTTGCTACCTTCCCAGATAGTTTCCAACGAGTGAAGTTAACGGGGGAAGCGGATTTATTTAACCAAATGCACTGATTCATTTAACAACCATGGCAACAAGGTCCAAATTAAGCATGCTTCCCTTAAAAAACATCTTGTTTAGCAATGAAAGTCTGACCCAACTGTGATCATAAGTTGAGGATTATCTGTAGTGGGCCAGTCTAATGCAGCTTGTTGGTTTATTTGCTGTTTATATACAATTCCCTTCAGGATCTCTCTCAATCGAGTCAGTTCACCAGACTTATGTAAAGAAACGACGGAATAGAAAATTAGAATGTATCCTACTAAACTTTTTCCAGCAGAAAAATGCAAAAACTGTCGTTATGAAAAATGAGATCAAAACCTCTATGCTAAGAGCATTTATGTTAGGCCATTATTCCATGGCCTTATTGGACTGTTGGGAATTTTTGTGTAATTTGTTCAACCCAGGCTCAGTTGACATCACACGTTTGTTCTGTGGGGACAGCAAAAAGATCCAGCGAATATTAAATTCAACATTGATTAGACCATTTCTCTTCACCTAATAAGTTTTCTGGGTATCCCCTTTGTCTGAACACATGCAGATGATTTGGTTTATTTATTTGTTGTTGTTTTTTGTTTAATAAATGTGTAAGTTTATATGATCAGGTCAGGTTTTCTACTATTAATCGGTTATGGGAGGCTCAATTAACAGAATTGGAAGGGACCTTGGAGGTCTTCTAGTCCAACCCCCTTGCTCAGGGTAGGAAACCCTATGTACCATTTCAGGCAAATGACTCTCCAATCTCTTCTTAAGAACCTCCAGTGTTGGAGCATTCACAGCTTCTGGAGGCAAGTTGTTTCACTGATTAATTCCTCTGTCAGGAAATTCCTCCTTAGTTCTAAGTTGCTTTTCTCCTTCTTTGGTTTCCACCCATTGCTTTTTGCCCTGCCTTCAGGTGCTTTGGAGAATAGCTTGATTCCCTCTTCTTTGTGGCAGCCCCTGAGATATTGGAACACTGCGATCATGTCACCCCTAGTCCTTTTTTTCATTAGACTAGACATACCCAGTTCCAGCAAATATTCCTTATATGTTTTAGCCTCCAGTCCCCTAATCCTCTTTGTTGCTCTTCTCTGCATTCTTACTAGAGTCTCCACATCTTTTTTACATCGTGGCGACCAGAACTGGATGCAGTATTCCAAGTGTGGCCTTACCAAGGCATTATAGAGTGGTATTAACACTTCACATGGTATGTTAGATTGATAGATGAGGTATAATTGATAGAGGAGGTATAATTGATAGAGGAGGTTTAAAATGCTCATTCATTCTTGGGATTTTGTTTATTTAAACAATCAATATGGCCAGTTAATAACACAAAGAAACTGGCAAACAGATACACAGTATACAATGTGCCAGAACCCACTAAAGG